TGTAATTTTAAAAATAATTTGAAGCGAGTTTTTCCGTTTTACGAGTTGTTTCCAAAAGTAAATTATTCTGCGTAGGTGACATAACAAAAAAATAATAAATGAGAGAAACAAAGAACTAGTCAATGGAGTGATCGTAAATTGTATACCATATAGCTATCGTAAACGTCAGTACTTTGCTACGTGTTTGACAAAAAAAAAAAAGATGTCATGTCTCCGTTCTGGACGAGAAACAAAGAATTTCCTTTAAAATTCTAGTCATGATTTAAAAAGTGATGTGAACAGAACAGCCTTGAAACAAGCGTTCGAATCGACACTTTACGAGTACTAACTTATACTAGAACATACGTGTATGTACATACGTGTGTGCGTATGTGTATGTACAATAATATTGTTTATGTAACCGGTCACGTTGAAAATGTAGTCCAACTTTTCGATTTAACTCTTGCTTTCTAACACTTACTTAATTCGTTCATTAACAACAATATCGTGATACACATTGCTGTCCAATTAGGACAAATTGAAAGGGTTCGTATCAGTTAATATAATACTATAGGCGATTTTAGCAATATTTATTTATGTTACTGTCTCCAATCATAAGTAAATAGCTTTGCGCAATTTGTAAATACATTACAACCTTTCAATAGCGATCAGTGTGATATGCATGCCGCTATTGAAGAAAAACAGATTCATTTTCAATTCATTTTCAAAATTGTTGTTGCTGTCTCATGCCTGCGCCGGGAATCGAACCCGCGTCGTTGGTATTACGCACCAGTATCCTTCCAAAAATCGTAACTAGAATTGTACAGAGGAACGTGGAAAAAAGGGCGGAAGAATTATTAGGGGAAGATTAATTTGGGTTTAGAAGAAATAGAGGAACGAGAGGCCATAGCTTTAAAGGTAACAAAAGAGAAAACGATAGAAAAACGAAAGAGTGCATAGAATTTGTGGATTTAGAAAAAGCTTTTGAAGATGATAGAAGAGTGATTCTTGGTTTGTATAAAGAGCAACAGGCAGTTATAGAGCTGTAGCTGCAAGTTAGTGAACTAAATATTAGGGAGTCAGACAAAAGATTAGTATGCTTAGATTTTCAGATGATCTAGCAAGGAGTAGTTAGATAACTGTAAACATTAACTTTAAATAAAATCGAAGCGGTATTAACAAAACAGTATTGTATAAAAATAAATAAAAGTAAAATAAAAATACTGGTATGCAAGGGAAGAAAAAGTAGACAAAAGCGAATATAAAGATAGGAGACAAAAAATTAGAAGAAGTGGCTGATTTTAGGTATTTAGCAAGTCAGATAAGTCAGAACGTTAGGAGTAGTGTAGGATAGCGCGGGGTCAAGTCACTTTTAATAAAAAGAAGTCATTTCTATGCTCGCGAACGGTTATTTTAGGAATTCGAAAAAGATTATTAAAGGTGTATGTTTGGAGAGCGGCGCTGTTCGGGTGCGAAACATGGGTGGTGGGTGCGGCGGAAAAGAATAGGTTATAAGCGTTCGAAATGTGATCTTACAGACGAACGATGAGGATACCGTGGATAGAGAAGGTTAGAAATGAAGAAGTAAATAGGAGAACAGAGGTCTCTATAGAAGTCAAAAAGAAATAGGCGAGATGGGTTGGTAGGACACCTTCTCAGACATGAAGGTCTAGTCAGAGACATATTAGAGACAAAAGCAGGAGTTAAGAGGAGTAGAGGTAGACCTAGACTAGATTACTGTTACTATATAGTTAAGGATGTGGTTTGTTCTAATTTTAGTGAAATGCGAAGATTAGCTCAGGATAGGAAAGAGTGGAGGTGCGTGTCCAACCAGTCTTGAGATGTCACAAGTATCGTTGAAACCAACCGTACATAATTATCAATATATGTATGAAAATGTTCTTGAAAAGATGAATATTCAATAATAAACATTAAACTGAAATTAACCTTCTATTCCCTACGTATTACCCCAAATTAATAGGGAGAAATTTTTGTTGCTGTCGCGCCCTCGCCGATAGTCGGACCCAAGCCCGGGAGAGAATTGGTACTTTTTCTACGTGATACCTACCAATTGTTTTTATATCATATATTATAAATAAATTATCTTTTATAACGACGGACGCGTTTTTCTAGGAACTGAAATACGAAAGGCCGAGGGACACGCGACGGACCTACTCATTTATTATATTAACCTGTGACCTATGAGTTAAACATACGTGTGTATGTCATTAATCTTTCGTTTTTAGGAGTTGACGAAACTGTCCAGTTCCAACCGCCTACTATCTTTTAAACGTGCATTTTCAACAATTGAAACAATTCAACAATTTTTCACATTTAATGAATATATAACTAAAAAACTAAAATTTTGTTAGGTAAATAATGATATTTTTAACAAAAAATCCAACGTTTTACCCTTGATTGTAAGCTTTTTCAAAAGAATTTTTAGGTCACCGAAGTAGAGAGGGAATTTCTTTAAACCAATGTAGGAGTAAAGTATAAGACATAAATAAATCCACAAAACCATAAACAACTATTTTCTAAAACTATCAAAACAAATCAAATTGTTATTTTTCTTTGTTATAATTAAAAATTATAAGTATTTAAATTGACGATTTTTTTGTTTTATGTGTGTATTGGAATACTGTTTGTGTTGTTTCACATAACTTTTATGGAAATACTTCTGAAAAACTATTGCCATTTAATATTGCGAATTATTTTTGTGGTAGACAGCTACAGTTTATTTTTGGAAAGTTTTATTAACGCTTACTAGCTTCTTCTTCGATTAATAGATAAAATTAAATAAATATTCTTTTGGTTGAATTATTATTTACAGTAGAAGCTACAAAATAAAACTAATAAATTTTTCATTTTCAATTTAAATTTGAATTAGCGGGGATGGGGTCTTT